CCTTCTTTTACCCTCTCTGCAGCAGCAAACTGACCTTCATGTCTTGCCAGTACTGATGCAAGCCAGCTTCATTTATCTGCGACAGCAGTTTGTTGCTCAACTCATGCGTCAGCTTCTGTGCTGCCATTTCGAAGGCATTTTTGAAATTTTGGAATGAAAAGAACCTGAAAGAAACAGGTGTTATGTAGCCTTAACAAAAAAAAACATCTACTCACATTCCTTCACTCCAGCCGAGTGCCTTCAAGCCGTCGTAGAATGCGGTGGAGAAAACAGGTGCCACATCCAACTCAGGACCAAGGCGGAAACGAGCTTGAGCTCCACGAAGAACCTGAACACCCGCAAATGACTGAAAATGACAAGACAACATCTTATTGAACTTCTAATTGTCGTGCAGTACAAAAAACTCTTGGAAAGAACAACTGATTTTCTTCAATGAGAGTTTCTGATGCAAATTTTACCGTAAGAAGTAAGCTGTCGTTCCAAAGCAAAGACTGCACATCTGGATGAGATCTCGTGATTAATAACTCTGGATCAGCTGTATCGCTGAAAACAATATATTTCAGATCGCTTGATGCTCTAAAATTCACTAACTTGTACAAAATGAAGAATTTCTCATGATTACGAGGTACACTTCCAAGCGCGTATATGTGATCCATGATTCTAAGCAAGAACTGGCAATAGGCCTGCTCCAGCTGTGTCACCATAATTGTCTGAAGCAATTAGACCATGCGATTAACCGAGCAGATTCTACAAGTACCTCATCCTCGTTCAATTCCACACTCCTGTCCATCACAATAAAAAGATTGTTCCAAGCTAATTCAACTTGTATCCATTCGAAAATGCGTGTTTCAAACCAAGCACAACTCATTTCGTATAGCAGCTGGACGCATTCTCGGAGCGATGTTGTTTTATCCAAAAGGCTTGCTATTGCTGAAACGAGAAGCCTTCACACCAACTTTCATGAATGTCAACAAGGATAGATGCGATAGATACCGCTTAAACTAAAGAGGGGGTAGCGATGTGATAGTAATGACTTGAAGTATGCCCGGGACCTTATTGGTCCTATTTGCGGCAACGACTCAGCGTAATTTTTGAGAAAGCAGAAATTTAAAGAGTATCTTGGCAGGCAGCGAGATTATATTATTGCTTTATTTAGATTTCGCAAATATTCTCAACTGCTGTGCCTATGTCTACTTCAAAGTTTGCAAAAAATGTCAGGATGTTTTGTTGAATGATCAGGTGAAAGAATGCCGGTGGCCAATCGTATTTGTCTCATCCGAAAGCAGATTTCAACTTTTTACAAGTCAAGAAACACCTATACGATTCACACATGCAGAGTATAATGTAGACCAATCAAACTGCCA